AATGAAAATAAACAATAGCGTAATTTTAAAATAGTCAGGGAAGGATAGACAGGAACCACAAGAGACATACTAATTTCTATCAGTGGTTTTCAGCCTATATTCTGCAGATCTCTTTGCTCTGGGAGCTAATTCTGAATTGTCTGTGAGAGGACATTAAGGGAAACATGCACGTGTACACTTGAAAAAGCAGGAGACTGCTGGGCTGGGGAGAAAATACCTGAAAGAAGGATGTATGAGGATAAAATGGCCATTGCCACTGCATGTCTTGGGAGAGCCAAGCGTGGCATGCTGCAGAAACAGGCCAGCCAGCAGTACGCTCACGCTTCGTTGCTGCTGAGCCTGAGAGTGAGCCCAGAGCCAAGCAGTTACGCTGGTTGCAAGGGCTTCCTAGCATGGATGCTGTGCAAAAGAAGCTGTACTGCCTGGGGATCTGAGGTGCTGTACCCACGTAGTGCTGTATGACCTTCCTCCGTCCGTTTGAAAATAGCCTAGGGTTGTCTGCTTTCTGTGTTATTGTAGGGTACAAATAGGAGGATTGGAGGGGTCACCATCTTGACGACATACACTTGAAAAAGATGCCAGCATTGTGGTCTTTATGGATGCACTGAGATGAGGCATTTAGGGTAGTAGCCTGCTTCAGGGCTTCAAAACCAACAAGCTTGTTTCATAACTAATGCCCCTCTTTGGGCAAGTTACACAGGATGTCTGCCATACAAGATGGCAGAAGATGCTCCCCTCTCCTTGAGTTAGCCCCCCTTGGACTTTTTATTTCATGTTCAGAATAGAAGAAATCTGTACGAGCACCTACTTTGGACAAATTTAACTTAACTCCTGTCGACATCCTCTCTCGTTGCTGTCAAACAGTCTTTTGTGAAACTGAATTAAGGCTTTATAGGGAATTGACTAGCTTCCTGCAAAGAAGGCAAAGACACTCTCCTCACATGAGCTAGAAAAAAAATTTTGCAAAGAGTTTTTAAGTTCTGAGCTGACACAGTCTTTTGGTGATCAGGAATGAATTGTTACTTTAAGTGCCTATGAAGCGAGTCTCTAGTGACACTTTCCAAAGATTTTCTGTGACACAGCCTGCTCCTAAATGTGTTGCATAAGACTTAAAGCTTAGTTGCCGCTGCTGCATAGGAACACAGGTTTTCATTTTTTAAATGTCTTGTTGCGTGCAAGCATTCATGATAGAAGCAAGTGAACATGCTTCTGTGTGCTCCAGAAGTAAATGCATAAGGACTAAAAGGTCTGTTGGCAACGGTTTTATAATACGCTAAACAGCAAATCCTTTATCAAAGGTCAGAGACCCCAGAGTTGCCATGTCTGGAGGAGAGGTTGGTTCCTTTTTAAAAGAGCATCCACTGCAAAAACTCTTGGTAGCGACAAGTCTGCAGGAGAGCAGAGGTGTGTGTTAGGAGCCGCTGACGGAGGCCAACCACAGTAGGATGAGGCTGTGCAGCTGAAGCGGTGCTGTAGCCAGCGCTAGTCAGGACAGAGCTTGTGCACAGAGCTCCGTAGGGAGGTTGCTCTGGGTCTTGCCCAGACTTCAGATTGATCAGTCTGACCATAAAATTTCCTCAGAAGACAAAGAGAGAGCAAAAAGACTTGGGAAAAATTATAAAGGGCACCAAACAGGCAAAGAGAAATTTCTGAGTACGTTTGTTTTGCCTGACCGTGTGTTATAAATGGTATAACTCTTTGTTGGGTTCTGTGGCTCAAATCAATGTGAATATAAGACCCCATCGTGCTGGGTTCTCTTTGTCATCTTTTTTTTGGGAATATTCTGTAAAATTAATTTATTAATCCCATTTTTGGATGCTTTGTGTTGAGGAATTGCTGAGCTCGTTAGAGAAATTTGAAGGTAAAGTTGGGTGTGGGAGACAAAGAAAGACATTTTCCAGGTTTGTGTCAGAACATTAGTTCTTGCCACATGTTTATAACGAAATTCTGAATTCTTCCTACTGCATATGACCCAAAGTGTCAACAGCAGAATGAAAGACAGTCAGTAAAATTAATTGTTATCAAGCCGTATATTCAAAATAATGTCTTGATTGTGGTGGAAATGAGTGTCTAGTACATGGCAATACCATTACTGTGCTCACTTTAATCGTGTATTATTACTGTTTAAATTTTCTAGAATCCATGGAGAATCGATGCCAACCTGTGTTCTGTTTTCTTGAAAGAAATTTTACCTGGATTCAGTATGGTTGTAGACCAACTTTTATTTTTGAGGTTGGCCAAAGTGTGGGAGAGTTGATGGATATTGTAAAAGTTTAATAGTGATTATTTAAAACATTTTTATTCCATTCTGACTTAACTGAAATAGGACAGATTATTGAGTAATGTTCATTTTGAATGAGGTCATGATCCATAGAATCATTACAGAATGGTTTGGGTTGGAAGGGACCTTAGAGATCATCTAGTTCCAACCCCCTGCCATGGGCAGGGACACCTTCCACTAGACCAGGTTGCTCCAAGCCTCATCCAGCCTGGCCTTGAACACTTCCAGGGATGGGGCATCCACAGCTTCTCTGGGCAACCTGTTCCAGTGCCTCACCACCCTCTCTGTGAAGAACCTCTTCCTGATACCCAATCTAAACCTCCCCACTTTCAATTTAAACCCGTTACCCCTTGTCCTGTCACTACAGGCCCTTGTAAGAAGTCCCCCCTCAGCTTCCTTGTAGGCCCTTAAATATCAGGTTGTATGTTCTTAAGACTTAGTGACTGTTTGATGGTGAGTGAATATAGTATACTATAGGACTCAACAAATCCTTCCTCTAAGGTTTTTAGGATTTCTGGAGCTTTGGAAAATATCCTCTAATACAGAAGGAAGTTTTCTGTAGAAAAAGTGGATTTTTTTTTTTAATGGAAAACAAACAAAGAAATCTTTTATTTTTTCTCTAATACCTTTCCTCCAGTTATATTTTGTTTTCTTCCACTCAGAAATGTGTACGTTTCTTGGAAGAGGTGTGAATGCTGAAGACAGCAACTCAAAACAAATGGCATGTGCGATGTTTAGCAGCTACTACTGTTGGTATCTCTGGAAACCAAACTAGTGGCATAGAAGACTAAATGTGGGCATCTAACTTTGCAAACACTTGGGAGACATAGCGTTTATATATGTTTTTCCTGTTTCCTCTATAACTTAATATACCTGGCTAATATATTGAGATTGTGCTGCAGCTTTCACCACGGATTACAATTAATTAAATCCCAATACAGTCTTAATTTTCAAGTTCTTACAATGTCTAAGTTCTCATATGCAGATATTTTGGCATTAGCCTAAATATACCTGGCAGTGTAAATCATGCATGTAAATGAGTGTTTATATCTGGTTTAGTGTTTATGGATATGAATAATTTCACTTTCTATTCACTTCCACTCTTTGCATGTCCAAATACTGCATAAGGAGGGATTTTACTTGTGATTTTTAAGTAGTATTAAGTTCTCTGTTCAAAAAAAAAAAAAAAAAAAGTATTGAAGTAAGAATCTGGGCAACTAAAACCTTGACAGAAAAGAGATTCTATTTTAAATTGGTAAGTCCGCTCCAGTTTTATATTCTTCTGTACATATTGAGAGAATACACACTGAAAATCCATACAGACAATATTTGAATATATAGTTGCTGAATGATACTCAAATAAACAGAATTACTTATTTTGGTGTTCAGTTTTCCTTAGTAAATTTATGTTCTATTTCTCACTTTAATTACTTGTCCTCAACTCCAGAGCTGTATTAACTTCTCAATAAATGTGAACTAATGGTAAGCTGCAGAGCTTTTTAAAATTCTTTTAAGATTTTTTTTTTTTTAACCTGTTGCAATGCTTTATGTCAGTAATCAAAATCTTAGCTAATTCTTTTTTTCAAGAGACTCTTCTGAAAGGAGTATCGCAATTTCCCAGGCAGTTGAATGGCCCCTTCCAGCACCAGGCTAGCAGACATAGGGTCAGACTGGGTAAGAATATGAAAGGGTTTGTTCTTAGTTTAGGTGAGGGCTGAGGCAGAATGGAGTTTAAGCACTGTTTGAGCATCTGCTTTGTCCTAATGGAAAAGCATCTGCTTTGTCCTAAGGGAAAAGCTGATGGTCACATTCATATTGTCACTAATGTCTATTGTCTTTAACCGACAAAAAAATAGGAGGAAAGGACATAAGTATTAGAAAGAAAGGTATTTGTGATATCTTAGTTTAAAAAGCAAATAATAACCTGCCTTTTCAGAAAATAGGAAGTGATAATCTCTTGATTTATCCTCAGTATATATTAAAGCAGTGAAGGGTCAGGATCCCTGTTTTTCCGTGGTGATTCTTTCATTTGTTAATTTTGCTACTAAATCTAAGACTGACAAATGGCTAGATTTACCAAGTCCTTGTAACATTTCTAGGCTTCTCATTTCCATATTTCTTCCAGCATTCAGATCATCTTCATTCTTACCTAATCTCCATGCACTCTCTTTCCTTACTACCCTGTGGTTCAGAAGGCATTCCCTGTTGTATACTGTATCTCCATGTTTTTGTGCTCCTACTTCTGTTCCTTAACAGTGTATTGAGATTTAATTTAAATTTCAATTCAGTGTTTTAGTGAATATTAGTACAGTACTTTTTTCCCATGTTAAAGTATAGGCCTACTTTAGTAGGGAATGACATCTTCACAGAAGTATGCTTATTTCTGTCACTGTAGATGTTGACTTGCAGTGGCATTTGTAAATAGTAATTCCATTGTCTAGCAGAAAGCAAATGGTAGAAGTTGTTTATAGCAACATCTACTTTTTCCTTATGGTTTAATTATTTTTCAGTAAAAGGTAGTGTATGTATCATTTGTCACACAAACCCGTATTTGGGAAGAGCAGAAAAAGGACAACAGTGTGGTGTGCAATCAACAGTTTGTGCTGACCTGCCGAGTTAAAACCGTATCGTGCATCATCTACAGTTTGTGTTAACCTGTTATCGTACTAGCTGGTTAGATTGTCTTTTTTTGTGCTGATAATGATACTCCTTGTTACAGGCAGATGCAACGGAAGCCAGAAGCACCCGCAGTCACTTATGCAACATACCGAGGTTCTGCAAGGATTAGGCAGCTCCTGAAGAATCAGTCAGAAATGGCTGGAAAAGGAGAAGAAAACGCTGAGAACAGAAATGGTTCAGTGGTCAAAGAAAATGGAGAGAGCCAAACTGTCTGTTCAAAATCGGGACACTTAATAAAAGAAAATGGAGATGATGAGAGTAATGATCACGACGATGATGTCGTAGTAAATGCTTCTGCAGTTAAAATGGGAGCAAAAAAGTCTGGTAAAGCTCATCACTGCTTGGGTAGCAGTAAACAGGAAATAGCTGCAAAGACCACAACTTCATCTAGTGAATCATGTAAAGAGGTAGACTTAAAAAATACACCTGCTTTAGCTGCAACCAAAGTTAAAAGGACGTATTCACTAGATTCATTACTGTCATCTAGTAATAGAAACAGTGAAACTCTAACAAATTCCACTTCCCAGATTACCAATTTCCTTAAAATGAGTTCTGCAAACGCTTTGGTTGGAAAAGAAGTTGGACTGCTGGGAGAAGCAGAAGCTTGGATTCCGACAGACAAAAATGCCACTTCTAATTTTGAGAAAGAAAAACATTGTAGTAAAGCGGCTAATAAAAAGTTCACCAAAAAAATGCAGGATGATTGTTTACATTCACCCAAATCAAAAAATGAGGCCGTTAATGAAGAGCTACAGGTGAGCAAGGGAGAATATTGCTGTAATCACCAAATGGATAGCCACTTGGATCTAACATCAGATGGCCAGGTGCTTCATTCCAGCACCACTTTTCAGCAGCAGCAAGCAGATCAGCGTACAGGTAGTGCAAATAGCAATCCGAGGAAAAGTGATACACAGAAAATTGTGGCAGCTGGAGAGAGCGAGCAGAATCCACAGGACTTACTTGCTACTGTTCTTTTACCTTTTAATGAACAAACACCCACTTCGCTTAGCGTGGAGTCCAAAGGAGAAGAATGCATAGCCACAGGTAATCTAACTCCGTCAGTGTCATCTGTTAAAAACAATGAAGAAGTGGACGCCACAGGTAATCTAACTCCGTCAGTATCATCTGTTAAAAACAATGAAGAAGCAGACATGGATAGGGGGACCTGTAGTGAAGAACTGAGTGAGTTAGGGAAACCAGTACACATACAAAATGATCACCAGTTAATCCACGTGGGGACTACCACACAGCAGTCTGGTTTAGCCTGTCCAGAAACTGAGGGTCTGGAAACAATGAAAGTTTTATCTGAGGTTGCAGTGGAAAACCTTGCCAGTGTATTGCCGTGCACAGATGGGTGTGAAAGCATGAAATTCAACTTCAGTGAGCTGACAGCACCTCTTTCTGTTACTTGCAAACCGTCTTTTGAAACTGGAGGCTATTGTTCACCTACTCTTCATCTTAGTTGCAAGTCTGAAAATAAAAATATAGGGAAAAGAGAAGTAAGTTTAAAAGATGTGAGAGAGATTGTTTCTTGCCCTGATCTTGAATATGAGAAGAGCAAATCCTTTGAGCCTGTAGATATGAGCCTCTCAGAAAACTCTGTTCCTGATCCCATCCTTGGTCCTGTTTCCC